TTAATCATAATTTATACTATTTTTCATTCAAAATTTTTAATTACATTAAAATTATATTTTATTTTTTAATTTAATCATTATGATGAAATTCAACTTTTAAATTTTTTATTTCATTTCATATAAGCATAAAATTATTATTTTTAAAAATAAGTTCAATCTTTTTTCATGAATATTAGCTTTAAGTATAAATTCTGTTTCAAATCAATTGAAAATTTTATGTACACAAATTTTAGATTCAAATATAATTGCAGTTTAATTTGTACCCAAAAAGTTTTTTATAGTATAATCTTCTCAAATTATTATTTTTTTGAAATTTTTTTTTGAAAATAGTCGAAATAAATTCAAACACATAGGAGTAAAAAAATGTCCTGGCACATGCATTATCAACTCTACACACATGTGATATATAACTGCCAACCTCACTCTCAAAGGATATGAGTGTTCATTGAATAACATTTATAAAATAACACCAAATTTGTTTCTAAAATTCTTTTATATAGTGAAGTTTAACCAGTTTCACTAATTGAAACTATGTCAATATGATTTTTAGGGATTCTAAGTCATGAACTAACATTATCTCCATTGCTCAATGCTTTTAAAAATTATAATCTGCATAACTTGTATTATTTTCTTGCAAAATTGTCAAGAAGAAACTTTAACATATATGTCAACATTTAAAGTAGAGATAATTAAATCTAAGCCGTAGACAAAAGAAAATTAAGAAAATAAAATTAATCAATAAATAATATTTATTCTCAAACAGAACTTTCAAAGAATTACAATGTCAGCTGAAATAACTTGATCAACACATTAGCTGAATTAATCTTGACAAACTTAACTTATGCAAAAATGCATTTTTTATAAATTTTTATTTATTATCCATGTATTTCACTTCGCTGTCCATAATTGGATTGCAACAAAATGTAACACAGTATTTTAGGCAATAGAGTCATAATTTACAATGGTATTATTTCAAGTATTAGAAAAATAAGGAAAAAAAAAGCACTTCAATCAAGTTCAGAGAAACCTGTATATGGGTACTTGTTCTATCAATCAAAGACTTAAATTTGAAAATTATCTTAAAGTGTATTAAGAGGTTGTGTTGCATACAGAATTAATGTCAAAGGGTGTTAACACAGTGCAAATAGATAGAATCTAATCTTCTAAATTCATGATTAACAATCAAAATGCTAAACAAGATAAACCTCCACCAGAATCAGTTAGGAATCATTGTCTAAAAATGCTATTTTTCTCACAAATACTTTTCATGTTTTTGCTATATTTGCTGGTTCTAAGATTGAACAACTAAAATAAGTACTTGAAAAGTTTAATCATCAAAATGTGGTCATCTTTTTAATACGAAATTCTCACTGGGGAGTATACAAGTTAGTTTGTTATCCTTGTTAGATTTACAGCTGAACAATATTATGAGATCTAAAATTCATGGGATGGATTTCAAATAAGCATTTCTAAGACTTAAATTTTGTTGAAACTCCAACAAATGCAACTGTGGTCGAGAGTAGCTAGTGTAAGAAATTTTTTTTTTGGAAATATACAGTAAATTTATGTTATGGTAGTCAACGTTGTGCCTTGATAAATATGTTCAAAAATTATGTTACTATACAAAATTTTGTGTGGTTTAATATTCGATGTTACAAATATATATATTGTGATACGATAGATAGATAGATATATATATATATATATATATATACAAACAAGAGATTGTGCACTTGAAAAAACTGATTAATATTATCATATTTCATAAAAATTGTATGACAAGAAGTATTGACATTTTTTAAAACAAAATATGACAAGTTATGTCATTTTTCTTTCATATGCATCAATAGAAATCATGTACATTTACACAAACCACTAGGTAATGATTCTTAAAATGATTATACAAAGTGCATACAAAGGAACTATTAGTGAAATAGAGTATATTACACATATTTATGCTATGAGGTTAGTTCCATGCTACTCTTTGGTTTCATCAGTCTTGATTGGATCTTCCAATTCCTTTTTGCGATCTTTTTGTCGGTTTTATTGCGAAGCTCCTTGTACTTTGAGGACTTTATGTAAACTTTTATTTTTGGTCAGATTTACTAATCCGTCCGGCATATGTAGAACTAGTCCTCCCTCCGCATGGGAATCTAGGACAGGCAATTAAAAACCGACGACGTTGTGTTGGTGCGTTGGACTCCGTACGTGGTTGGCCGGCGTCCGGGCCTGGGCCGCAGCATATCCGCACGATAACCGAGCACCAGTACCTCTGACACGGTTCGCTGGTTACCGGGACGCCGGCTGCCGCTGCCGGAGCAGAGGAACAATGCTCGTAAACGTCGTCGAGCGCCATGAGTTGGGAGAATTTGTGGCCCTTTCCCCTTGGCCTCACTGTCCATGCACACTCGAGAAGTTGCACCTTTAGGCTCTGAAACTCTGCCTCGAGGACCGTCTGCTCGGACGTTGTGCTGGGCTTCTATAGTTCATGAGAGATGAGCCTCGGACGTTGTGCTGGGCTTCTATACTTCATGAGAGATGAGCCTCGGTCAAAACAGCTGTGGGACTGGGTTGTCTCTGGACGGGATATAAATGTGGGGGAAGGAAAGGAAGAAGGCGAGTAATGCGACGATAATAAAGGAGAGCTACTGTCGGTGGGTGGAGGATAATGAGCTGCCGGCGTTCTTGTCGCAGGCAACCGATAGAAAATGGCATTGAAACGAGGACTGAACTGGACTGCATATCTGATCATCGATCTGACGTATGCTCTCTAGACCACGCTAAAGTAGTGGTCACGCTAAGAACATTCCGAAGTGTTCAGATCGATGAAATGGTCCGTCAGAGAGGTCCATCACTCACACACACCCTGGCACATCATGGACCCAGACTGTCCGTCTATCTGTCCGTGACTAGGGAGGGAAAAGCTGCTCAGCTCAGAAGTAAGCGGCATCGGGATGTGGTTTGCTATGTTTAGCTCCTCTTATACAGCCCCGACAATTTCCAAGGGCTTTGGATTGGGGCCAATTGGTAATGATGTCCTCAATGGATTTCCATAATCTGTTCTCTCTGAAGTCCATCACCATCTGGATCTTTGCATTGCCCTGGGCGATCATCTTGAGCTCCACGCTAGTTGAGCAACGAAGCTGATGAGGACTCCAATCGTCAGCATCCATAATGACGCGGGGTGACCTTACACAACCAGATCTGGAGATTGAAGGCGACTCTTCAAGGCAACGAGCTCTTCTGAATCGTAAGGATTACCAGCGATGTCTATTATGATGTCGTCCTTCCGAAATGATAAAAGGTCTCGTTCATCGGATCTAAAATGTGCTGGACACAAGAGACAGCAAACGAGGTGGGTCATCATAGCACGTGGACAGGCTGGTCACAGAGGCCAGACTATGTTTCACCTCTCACATTGCATTTGCCACCCCTTTATAAGAGCCGTAACTCCCATGGCAGTGTTTGGGTCTAGCTTTAGTGAACTTTACGCAGACAATCATCCCACAATGCACAGTTCTGATAACAGGAATGGACTTGGGACTTGTCCATGCAAAACTAGTTCACGGGCAAAGTAAACAAAATAAGTGTTAACGTGCTTGACTAATAATCATGCACTTGACGGATGTGTTCTGTGCTTGCTCCATCAACCCCTTTTCCTAACTGGTGCCCTCGGATTGAGAGGAAATCGACGGGAACCCGGCTGGTGCAATATGTGTTGCCCTCAACGAACCTATTCCACATCTGTGCGCGAGCCAGCACAGTATTCGAGGCAGACCACAAGAAAACTGTTCCGGCGATACTCCAATTTTGGGAAGAAGGGTGCGCTTGTCACATCGGACCAGTGTGTCCTGTCAAGTGCACGTTCCGAGCATTTCGGAACTTCATCTCCACCTTGTTCCTGGAGTCCGAGATGTATATAAGTAAGATAATGCAGTCCTCTCCTTCCTGAGAATAAACCCAATCATGTACGCATGGGAATGCTATGCTTTGCACAGAACTACATGATTCATAGCCATTGAATGAAGCAACAAAGATCTTCACTGTAAGACCTTTGGACTGGGTCAGGACTCGAAGATTGCCCTCCGAAGTCGCCAACACGAATTCTCGGGAAGCGCAAGAGCCCGATCGACAGCAAGACGAGAGGCGACAGCTTCACCGGCCATGGCAGACACTCCCGCCGGGCGAGAAACCGGAGTAAGATGTGCTGGAAAGTGGTATTCACGAGATGATCCATTTAGGACTTCCGGACTTTGAAGCATCGTCCTTACTTTACGAAGTACAAAAGGTCTCAAGAATTAAATTATCAAACCGAAAAATTCGGTATTGACACATTGACGGCGGACAAGAGCATTTATAGCTTCCCTTTATCCTCCTTAAAATTCACAGCACTTTGGATTCTTTTCATGATGGTGAAGACACACAGCGTCCGGTGGACGTTGAGGAGAGAAGCATGGACAACATCTACGAAACAAGAGACCCCTGTGAAACCATGACTTAGACAAAATGTGCAAACGCTCAAGAAAATCGCTTTTCGGGTTGACAGAATCCTACCGTAATCAATATATTACATTGCAATTGTCTTCCTGTGGCAGAGCCTCGTAGTTCGGTCTGCTTAAGTTAATGCATGACACATATCATCGACGGACATGCTAAACGAAAATAAACGGGTACTGAGCCTCCATAGCTATCCACTGCTAGGGCGCAGAAGTTCCAAAACCCTATATTGGCAAAAAATCGACAACAGCCAAAAGGGAATCAAAAGACTGGACCGGCACTACCAAGTTGCTCCACTGTCACGACCGGATGAACAGCGAGCTCAGCACATCTTCTAAACAGGCAGAAAACGTGATGGTAATTTCGCAATATCTAGGCAGCAGATGATGCAGCTCTAATCGACAGGTCACAAATGTTCACTTGTCAATGTGAGGATGGAATCGTTTCAATCCGATGAATCAATGGTCTTCAACACCACTTCAATATGTTCCTACAAACAGGATAGGCTCCGAAACTCAAACTTTGAAATAGAAACAGTACACACCGAGGAGTAATGTCCTCTTCAATCTGTAGTGCATGTCACTTTGGTGCCATGAGTCCTACGAGGCTATTGTCCTCAGTAACTTTGCATTTTCAAATGCACTGCACTTATCAAAAACTGCTGCTCAAAACTACGCGCAAGAGCTTCCAAATAAGCCAAGCTCTGTTTTCGAGTGTCGGGGGTCATGACACTCAACTCGCAACCTACTCCCTGATACAATTAACGCGAGCAGGCAGACGAATCTTCACAGTGACAACAACCTCGATTTCAAGGCGTCACGTCAAGTAAAGAGGCAGCTCTACCCATCGGCTTTAAAGATGTTCGCTCGCAATGACCTTTTCTTTAATTGGGAGCCCGGGAAATCACTCGGAGGCAGCAGGCTTCCTCAAAAGAAGAAGATGCATCGGAGTGAATATACCTGTCTCACCACCTTGAGTGAGGAAAGCGGCTGTTTTGAACAACATTTCGTGAACGTCGACAACCCCTTGCGGTGCAATGCCTAAGAATGTTAGGAAGGCAATGACCAAATGGTTCCTGTACCAGGCTATTCGCCCCATTTTCAAACGTTTCCACCATGGAGAGGCAGGTGGCAGGGCCAAATCCAGATTCTGCAGAACCTCAAATCCAACTTCCTTCGCGACGTCCTCAATCTGCGTATGACTCCTAAGACCCGGAAGCGCATTGCCAATCTCAATCCCGTGGATGATTTCCACGTGCTCTTTGCAGTCGGCGCGATACTTCGGGGTTGTTACCCATTCATATGTCACGTAAAGCTGTCCCGGCTTCAAAACGCGGTAGATCTCAGCGTATACCTCGCTCAACGTTGGGGCGTGGCACGTGGCTTCGATGGAGTAGGCGGCGTCGAAGCTGTTGTCCGGGAAGGGCATGTGTAAAAAATCACCGCACACTACCTCGCACTGCTGATCTAGGCCAGCCTTCTTGTTATGGCTCCGGGCGCGAGCGACCTGATAGTCATTGATCGTTATTCCTACCACGTGAGATCCGGAATGTGCTGCTATTGCGCGCATGGGACCACCGACACCGCACCCCGCATCCAATACCTTCATGTCGGGCTTCAGCTTCAGCAGCTCGGCCACCTTCACCTCGTGCAACCTAGTCGCCTCACGATGGGACTTGCCCGAAACATCAGGCGAGAAGTGAAAGCTTTGTCCCCAGCCCCACTCGTAAATATCCGTCACCAAATTGTAAAATGTATCAACAAGCTTAGGCACATTGTCCGTCTTCTCGATCTCTTTGGGCTTCTCGAAAAAGTTAGCGTACTCTTTGTAGTTGTCTGCCACTTGTTCGCGGCCAAGAGAACCCCCTCCGAGCTCCACCGCTCGCTTCCCCTGCTGTTCCGCTGGAACCGAGAAAACAGCATAATACACGATGATTGCCACCACCCCCGCCAATCCCACAGCTCCCCATGCCATCCATGGTGTCCCTGCCGTGGCTTCGAGGACCTCCATTGCCTCCAGGCGCTCGAGCCCGCTCTTTCTCTTTGGGAATGTTCACTCCCCTCGCACTCGCTCGGGACTCACTCTCAACCTCCCCTCCACTTTCCCTACCTGCCGATCGCTCCGCGAGAAGATCAAAGCCAAAGCCCAGAAACGAACGAGGCACGACGATACGGAGAAGAGAAGTGAAGAGGTCTCAAGGACCTCCGACACGAGCAAAGAGACGAACGAGGAATCGGTCAGGTCGACGACAGGAAGAGTCTGCCTGTCTGGCCCGGAGCTCGAGCTCGTCTTCCTTCCTTGCCTCCTCCCTCACTACACGTCCGTACTCGTCCCTCGCGCTCACTTCTCCCTCCGCGTCCCACTTCGAATCGATCGACTCTAGTGCCTCCCCGCTTCCCTCCTCCTCCCAACCCTCGAGCCTTGCCTTGCTTTGCCTGCGCGCCTCGCAAGGCCTCGCGAGCCCTGAATGTCACCACACAAGACAAAGCGCAGCCGATCCTTTACCTCGCTTCCCTTCACTTGGTCCCGTCCTCTTCCCTTCCCTTGCCTTGCCTTGCCTTCGCGGCCCACTCCTCGTCGATGTGATGCGATGATGTCAACACGAACACACGCTCACACACTAAAGCCCGTCTCGCCACTGCCCCCCGCGCGCTTCTAATCCGGGCGCGAGCCAGCCAAACCCAGCCAGCCCACAGCCGGCACCAAAAAGAAACTCAAAAAATTCCCTGCTGCTGCAGCACCTGCGCCATTTACAAAAGAGATCGCACCACCGCCCGCCCGCGGCCCGCCCGGCCCTCGCTCCCGCGATGCCGCCGAGATCCAGATCTCCAGACAAGCCCGCGGACTCCGCTACCCTCCCTCCTCCTCTTCCTCCTCGTCCGATCTCCCTCCCTCGCTAGATGTTCCTCAATGGAGCTCCCTCCCTCGCCAACAACCAATCAGTCCCTGTCTCGCTCGCTGGTCTTTCTCTTTCCTTCACAGGTTTCTCCCCTTCCTGCTGCAGCTGCCCCTCCTGCTCCTGCTCTCTCGCTCGACTCGGCCTCGATCCCACTGCTCGCCCCTCGAGCCGACGATAGTAACGCGAGAGAGCGAAAGAATCGAATTTCCGGACCATGAGCTCGAGTTATGCCTGCGTCCGCTGCCGGTGAGGGGGGGCGTGCGTCGCCAACTGGGAGTCGCGAATCTCCGGTGGGGTCGCCGGAGCCAGTACCCGGGCCTGCGCTGAGTTGGACAGCCGCGGACCCACCGGGGTGTACAAACGTCCCGCGACTCGGGCTTCCGGACGGCGCCAACGGATTCAGAAGATCTTCCGGGCCCGGCGTCGCTGATTGGCGAGCGCGGACTGGGGCCCACATTCACCGCCCGAGGTCTCTGCGACTCGACTCGACTCTCTCTCGCTCTTATTTTCAAAGAGAGCGAGGGTGCCGGGTGTACTGGTTCGACAGTCCCGTCCCGCCATTCCCAAATATCGCCACGTACCGCTCGCCGAACAATATTTCCTGCCATTGGGAGCTTTGGCGGTTATACTCCCGGTCACCGGCTTTCTGCGCGAGGCTCGTTCTTTTATCCTCTGGTTCGAGCACGGTAGCTGCTGTACGTGTAGCTGTATCTTCTATATTCTGACCACTGGTTTTTAGGCGCCGTCAAATTATAGGTGTGACTCCCGTCAAACTTGGACCTCAAGTCTTCCCCCGTCTCCTCACTCTTCTACCTTGCCCGACCTAACCCTATGTTGTACCCCACCACAGTATTCCTATTATTCATTCGCCCTACAGTCAATTCCTTTTCTCCGGCCGCTCGAATGTTATTGTCTTCAGGGGTCATCATTCGTATTCCAACTTCATTCCAGGAGATTGTAATCAATCTACTCCAACTTGTCAGCTGTAATTCAATCGAACTTGTGACTTTCCAGACAGCAATCCAGAGGGCCTAGATGAATATTATTGCAGGTGATGCTCCATTTCAACTGATATCTAACATTGGGGATCATTTTGAAACTTTATACCATTGCGGAGCATATCTTCAAAGAAGCTTCGTGATCATTTCCCTTCCTCTCTTGTTTTTTTATGAGCTCATCGGATACGATGCCAGTATGTTCTGAATTCAAACTTGTGGAGACGGTTCCACCCCACCAGAAAGGCTACGAAAAGACAAGTCTTGTATATGCATCGGTTTCTATATTTTCGTATAATTTCCAAGGGAAGAAAGGGAGTTTTTTTTTTAAACATCTATGAAGATGGATGGTTATCCCACAGAACGCTATAAAATTGCATGCTTATCTGGTGTATTTTTTTGATGGATCTAGTGCAATTATCTTATTAAATCCTCAAGAGCTAGTTGACTTTTTGAATTGAAAATCATTTGTTTTGCACACATATCGTTTGAAGTAAATTGGCTTCAGTATCACAGCGGTAACTTACTAAGCTTTTATCTTCAACTTCAAACAAGTACATGGTTCACTTAACATGATCAAGACCATTTGGTGAGAACACTGAAACGCAATCATCGATTTGATTATATTTCTTAGGTTGCGCAGGGTAAGAAAAACGTAAACCTTCGGTCCTACGATTGAATCTAAAATTTTCATCACTTTTCTGACCTCATTTTTTCGACTGGACGTATTCTTTAAGATAATTTTTTTTTGAAATTATAGAATATCTTAGAATGATATTTTTTTATCCATTTCGTTGAGTGTTTCATTTTCGCTTGCTATTTAACCTATTCTCCGTATGAACATAGAGAAGAGAGATAAGCTGGTGACATGTCGAAAATTTTGGCTTCGGGATACATCACCCCCAAATATGTTAGACTTTGGTGCTTCTTATGAGATTTCATATCGAATTCTCTGGCCAAAAAATATGACAAGATCTTTGTCAAAAATAACTTGGTCATCAAGTGAGTGTAGCCTAAATAGTTGAAAACTTACCACAGAACCAAATCTGGTATTCCAATTTACCTATAATATTAGTAAATTTTCATATGTATATTATTGTAAGACACCATATGAAATACTCAATCAGAGAGGAAGATTACTTTCTCTCAGTTTGATCTTTTGAATTTCGTATTATAGGCTTCTGGGAAGGGTAAACTTATGACTGTCCCTTCATGTCCATGAGTGGCAACATTTTCGCTTGTATAATTATAGGGTTGAGCAGAATCAGTTTCCACAATTGCACACTTTCACAAAACACACGTCTACATATCGCACACACTTTGAACAAAAGATTTCATGCATGCCTTGTATTTGAAGTTATGAATCCCTCTTGGAGGAAAGTATGTTGCGTACACTGTCTGTATATGGAGTCATGGAACTGTCGCAAATTAGCGGCCATCCATCTTTCAGTCGTTACTAAGAACAGCTTGTGCATTCTTCCTCCTAAACATGTACATGAGGGAAGCTGTACATCGCTGTTTTCACGTTTACATCGCTGCAAACCTGCTTGGAATAATCTCTGATTTAATGTGATTGTAGTAAACAGCATTGTTTCTTGACTTAAAGTCATGGTTTGAGTAAGAAGTCTCATCTTTTAGCTCTTGTGTGCACCCTCAAGAGACAACTATAAACTCAGACGATTCACGATGTCCTTTTTAGCCATATGTATATTGTGCAAGAATCACCTAGTTCTATTTCTATTTTTATGCTCATTGATAACTTTGGGCATTGACCTGGTATTTTCTTTGCAATTTTCTCCCATAGCTGTTGAGTGGACGCTCTTGGGACGACTTTGAAGTCAGATAGTTAATATTCCGTATGTATTTATGCAGAATTATATATATTGAATTGTACATTATTTTTTGTCTAATTGTACCCGAACACATGATTTTCAATGGATTGGGCAATGTACCCACCTCCACAAACCGTACGGCAGATCCCAATTTATTTTCTCATACTTATGGGACGCTTATTCACTCCAAGTTGGTGGCTTCAAATAACTTTTTTTGGTGAGTATGAATAGTAGACAAGTTTATGCTTCATCTCGTAAATTAGTGAAAATTTTCATGCAACGGAAGTGCTACGCATAGTTAGGTCCAAAAGGAATGTTGAAGAACCTAACGTTGAATGATAAGACCTCTACCGTCCATAGGAGATCAGAACAGGGAGCTGTGCCTAAGAAAACTTTTCTAACGACACAGAGGTAACTATCACTCCTTATACAATAGTGTGAGGGTTCTTCTACCAGAGCTCTCCAGCTAGTCGAAGTAAGTGTAGCACATAGAACAAACATGCGCAGGCTGTTGCTGCTGTTGTGTTTGTCTGTTGAAGAATACTGAGATCTTCACTGTACCTCCTTGCTGACATCCCTCGTGTGGGTTTTCAGCTGGCAATACGGATAGAAGTCACAGAACCTACTTACAATCCTACTAGAACCTTCGAAATGATCTATACTGTACTGTATCTGGAAAGTAAGAGCATTCCACTTACTGTACCTCATGTATCTTGATTATATCTCCACAGTTCCCTTCGGTTTACAGAGAAGATCCTAGTCTTCGGATTTTATTCCTGCACAGTTGTTTACCATGTCTTCTCCTCACAACGTTTGTAATTATATATATTAATACATAGTCCACTTGAAACATGACATCATTTCTTTGTGCAATAGAAAATAAAGTAGATGGGAATCCAAAGGTCATTTTTTTCCATTCTAGCATTGTAATTACTCGGAGTTTGGGAATCACTTTTCCTCTTATAAGGAACATTGTGTTAGAGTCTACGATGTTGAGTATCAATTTATGTCATTATGTTTAAGTCTGGTTATGTAATTTGTGTCAATTTTCTATGTAGAAGACTTGTGTTTTGGAATCCATGATTAGGTTTAGTTGAGTATATCCTACTTCTAGAACATTTGTTCTTAAATAGTTTTGATATCTAAGTACCAATTAATGTGATCTTATTGGTACATAGATCCATTCAGCACACTTGTTTACATCCATGTATGACTTGGAGGAATATTCCTATTTATTCTATATTAGCTAATCTAATTTTACAAAAATCTACTTACGGAATCCAAACTATCATAATTTATTAATTTCATGAATAATATAAAAATATTTTTTTAATCTTCCAAACATAAAAGAATGAGTTTTCATTGCTTTCACCTTTTTTTTCGAGCCGCCAAATTTTTCGGCGCTCGGCCAAAGCGGGAGGCCCCACCCAGCGCGGCTTTGCTAATAGAATATATGTCTCCGCTAAACGCAAGCGCCCGGCCCGTGTTAACCTAAATGATTCAAAAAAGTGAAGAAATTTATATCTTTAAGGGCTAAAAAACTGAGTTTTTTACCTATATGTATGCATCCTCTACGATAACACAATTTGAATTGCACTGTATTTTTGAAATTTTAAAAAATATTTTATGTTTTGTAAATATTTTTGTAATCCATGTGATCTCTGATTTTGAAGCAAGACACTGCTGCATTGAAAAATTTTTAGAGCAAAAAATACTTCAAGTTTGTTGAAGTATTTTCTACTCTTGTACTTGTTCTACTTGTTGAATGAATAAAACATGAGTTTTGAAATATTGTTATGCCATCAAAGACATCTACAGATAAATCAAAATTATCTACTGAATTTATTTTCAAACTCATGCTCTTGCTTATATTGTTGAATATTCATTCACATTCATAGTTTTATCTTTCGATATTTTATTTATGTCTTTTGGTAATTCATGTGAGCTTCACCTCAGTTGATGAATCGGATGAAACTAT